CTTTACCAATAAATTAAACAATTATATTTCAACTTAAGGAGCATTTAACGGTTTTCTAAAACATTTCATTCAAATAGATAATCATAAACCTTCATTGGTACTGTTAATATTTGAAATTTCTAAGGGATTTTCTTAATAGGAATGCTTAACTAGTACTGTTAAGTACAAAATAATCAAGTGATTAAAATACATAATACTATCATTCTCTATAAAGTACAGTTGAAGTATAGACACCAAACAATCTTCCCAGCATTATCATGAACTAGATAAGAAAGTAGAGGTTTACATATGGCCACATGTGGAGTCAAATGAAGATAAAGGATAACACTTTACATGTAGGTGGTTTGTGTAGCATTACATTGAAGATTGAAACAGTTAGTTATTTATTCTATTCACCCTGCTTCTCAGAGAAACTTCATCTCCCAGGTAGGAAGAATTCTTTCCAGGAGTCAGTTAGTATCAAAGGAAAACCCTATTGTTCCAATATAAATACCCAGAGGGAATAAGAAAGCTGATCATGTCAAGTCATTATTTTTCAACAAAATATAGAGTTGCATCATGGTCTGATTAGATTTGTCACTTACATGAGACTGATCAGATAAAGAAACTCTTGAATAGGAACAGGGAAAATTGAGGTCATCCTTGTAGGTTTGCTTTGGAAAGAAAAGTGCTACTTAAACATGAATGATTATATGCTTTTCATAAGAAGCATGGACGCATGTGCGTGCGTGCTTGGTTGCTCAGTCATATCTGATTCTTTATGACCCTTTGGACAGTAGTCCGCCAGGTTCCTCAGTCCATGGGATTCTCCAGGCAAGAATAATGGAGTGGGTTGCCATGTTCTCCTCCAGAGGATCTTTCTGACCCAGAGATCGAACCTGCATCTCTGTCTCCTGTATTGCAGGAGGATTCTTTCCCAATAAACCACTGGGGAAGTCCCATACAGATACACTCTGGCATCCAAAAATCAATGTGCTATAATTTTAGTAATTAGAATTTGCAACTACATCAAATACAGCTCACTAACACACCATGGGCTTGTCCCTGGCTTCCATCTAAAGCCAAATTGTTTCACCTTTGCTAAAGTTGGAAGATATGACTTTCAACCTGTTTCTTCATCTATTCAATATTACATATTATTATCTATGGGGTTTTTCAGCAATTTTCTTTCTAGTATTCCTATCCTATTCTCTTTCTATATTTTTTAGGTTTTGGGGCCGTATCCCAGAGCTAGTGGTATCTTAGTCCTTCAACTAGGGATGAACCTGGGCCCTGGCAGTGAGAGTGCTGAATCCAAACCACTGGACTGCCAGGAAATTTCCTGTTCTCTTTATAATTGCAGTGTGGCTCTTTCAAACTCTGGCCCCTATTCTCAAGCTGCCCCAGCCTCTTTCCTTTAGTTATCAATGGCTATCCTTTCTTTTTTAACTGAAGTACAGTTGATTTATAACATTGTATCAATCTCTGCTATGCAGTAAAGTGACTCAGTTATATACATATACTCTTCTCTATACATGCATGAAAAAGCAGATATCATAAACCATCAATTCTCTAAAAATTTCACCTATCCATCTCCAGATTTATCTTTCCTCTTTTCACTTTTCTTCATTGTTCTAAAGAATGCAGTACTTGTCTGTACTACTTTTCCAAGGTTAGTCCCTTCACTTGAGCTCATGATCATACTTTTGTTAGCAGCTCCAACTCCAAACTTAACCCTTGTGTCCCTCAGCTTACCTGTTCTGAATTAAAAAAAAGAAATCCCCTTGAACTCAATTCTCTCTCAAGCAACTTTAATTCTCTTTTCCCTTTTAACTTACTAATCTTTTACAGAGATGCTTGTACTTGCTAATATCTCCACTTTCAATTCAATCCTCCACTAATCCTATTCTTCCAATTCTACTACCCCACTGAGATGCTTCTTGCAGTGGTTCTCCCAAACTTAGTCATTACAAACCATAATTGGTTCTTCGAATTACTCCTGATCCTCTGCAATGTTGTTTCTGTTCTCTGTCCTTTTCCTTTAACTGTTGTCTCGTTCCTCCTATAGCTCCAGCTTCACTGTGTAAAAGTCAAATTCCTTATGTTGTCTACTTTCTACCCTGTCCCCATGTCAACATCATTGTTCATTTACAAGTTTGGGGTCAAAACTTCAGCATTCTCTTTGGTTCTCCTTGCCCACTGGTTATCTACACACACACACACACACACACACACACACACACACACACACAGCCTCCTGCCTCTGGATTAACTGTCATCCCACCCCGACTCCCTTGACCTGGGCCTCCATCGTATTAAGCCTGCTTTGTTTCTGTGAATTTCAACATGAACGATTTCCCTATAATCACTTCACATTACTCAATCACTCAACAGTAGAGTAATCAGAAGCAATGAAAACAAGAATGGGGTCACGTGATCCCAGCTAAATACCTCTGTGATTGTATTCCAGTCTTTCTCTCTTGCCACGTTTTCCTACCCACACCAATCAAACTGTCATTCTTTAATTGAGCTATGATTTTCCTCACCCCACATTATCCAAATGTTGCCCTCTTGGCCTGGCTTTCCCTGGTTGGCAAACTCTCCTTCTCCTCTCCCTTTCTCTCTTCTCCTCTCTCTTTCTCTTGTAGATGTGTAAATGCCTCAAGGATGGAGCTTATCACATTTTATGACAAAAGTCTAAACGGTCAGCCCTCCTGCCCTGCCTCTTCTCCTACCCCATGCAGACTGGAAGCTATGGATAAACCACAGTTGCTCAGTAAGTATTTTTATTACGTGTGAATGAATAAACAACCATCTTAAATTTCAAACCTAAGAAAACAAGACAAAAATAACAGAAATAGGACCAATGGGAAAAGGAAGTTGTTTTGTAATGAAGAAGAGTGGACAGCATCAATACAATGAATTAAGGATGAATATGTACTCACTGGGGCCTCCCAGATGGCTCAGAGGTAAAAGAATCTGCCTGCCAATCCAGGAGATGCTGGATTGATCCCTGGGTAGGGGAGATCCTCTGGAGGAGGAAATGGAAGCCCTCTCCAGGATTCTTACCTGGAGAATCCCATGGACAGAGAAGCCTGGTGGTCTACAGTCTATGGCATTGAAAAGAGAAAGACACGACTAAGCACACATGTATTCATGCATGCATGTGAGCGTGAAGGAACAGTTGAACAAGGAAGTGTAAATCTCTAGCAGGCAATGAGGTGCTATAGTTCTGGAGCTCAACTGAGGTTTCAGGGCCAGAGACACTGAGCAGTAAGTCATCTGATGAAAGCTGATAGCTGAACATATACATAAAAGACTTTTCCAAAGCAGAGGGAAAAGGGTCAGCGTCTATATGTTGGAGATAATATGTTAAGGGGTGATAGGCAGAATCAGTGAAGAAGAGGGCTCTGAGCAGGAGGAAAGAGAGCCCACAACAGTGATGGGAGTTAGATTAAATGCACCTTGTATTTCCTCTGATAACCGTGACTTCTACTTTATGGGTGACTGATAAATATTATTTGAATTGGGATGATTTTCAGAAGTCAATATGAATTAAAAGATACATTTCAGGATATTAAGGCAACACAACATATAAGGATATACAGCAAGTAGATGTGGATCTTGGAGTGGGGTTGGAAGAATGTGGAGAGATACAATTATGGAAGAAGGTTCATTGCCAAAAAAGCAGATTAAAAAAGGAGAGTAAATTGGGTAGTTTTTGAAAGATGGTGGAGACAGGTGCACAGAGGTGGGTAATGACATACTTTTACCTGTAGCCTGCAAGGCCAACAATTAGGACTTAAAAAATGTTTTTTCACTAATTATTTGACATAAAACCTGTCATTTCATAACATTATTAGTTATTTGAGATTAAGAACCCTGTCTTAGAGTTTTCTTCTATCTCCTGTAATTGTCAAACAAAGACAGTTACACGATGGGAATTTTGTAATTCAGAACCTGAATCAAAGTGATTGTACTTTAGCGGGTCATTCCTAGGGAGAAGAGAGTATCATCATTTTATAACTATTAGTAAATGGCAACCAAGAGCCATTTCATTTCTAGAATCTCACGTAGACCTATTGGGATAACCTAAAGACCTGTTTGAATACCAAGAATAACACTAGACATTCAGGGACCCCATACATTCCTCTAAGATGTACTGCAACCTATCCTGAGCTTTTGAGATGGTGCCATGAGAAGATGCTGTTGTTATTGGATGGATGTCTATATGCAGAAGAGGAAACTGGACATTAACTCTACACAGAGGCAAAGTGATCTTAAATGACAGTGAAGGTACTGAGTAAGAGTTAGGTCCTACTTAGAAGCCTTCAGAAACCAGAAAACGAAAGAACACTACAGTAAACAGGAATGGAATGTGCTGAGAAAATGAGCTAATGACGGTATGTGATCTGTAAACCCGCTTATCTGTTTTAATTACTTTCCAAGCTGTGCCATGTCTTAAACGATATTCAAGCCTGTCCAATGTTTTCTCTACTTGACTCCAGTGATTAATATTCCAAAAATGGTTTAATTTAGGCAACCCTCCACAAAGATCTCTCAAACGAGCCAGCAAACCAGTGCTAACATTTGTGTGAAGATACATCAATGAAGATGCATTCAAAGAGACATACATGCTAATATCACGGGGACTTGCAAACTGAGTTTAAAGCTTTTCAAAATATTCAGAAAAATTCACATGGTTAGGTAGCTAAATCTCAGTCAGGTCCTACATGAATATAAGCTAACATTTTCACTGTAAATGCCTCCATTAAAAATTTAATTCTCACTCTTCCCAGACAATGTACTCTCTAGGTTAAATAAATGTCCTACCAAGGGTGAGAGCATATACAAATTCAATCTACTGTTTATCTTCAGTTTATATAATTTTGCACATCATCCTTTTTAAATTAGAGAATGATGCAGTTGAACAAACATCACTGGTTTTATCAACTCTAGAGAGAAATTTACGTGGTTTCCTCTAGGAGTTTTCTTGTCACTTTGCTCAGCCTCATACTTACATGTCACTGGCAATGGAGGAGTTTCGGGACATAGACTTTGGTGAGAGGTCATAATCGCTGTCAGAGCGATACAGGAAGGACTCCCGACGCTGGCTGTGGACGAAATTTGCTTGGAGAATCAGCCCAGATCCTGGGCTGGTCATGGGATCCAAGGGACTCCGTCCTGAAGATGTGCCATTGTCCACATCGAAACTGTCAATAAGGGAGAAAAGGATGACACTGCTGTGAACTGCATGTTGATGTTTTAATAAAGTGAGATTTCATTTTAGGAAGTAACAGCAGGAAAACTAGCAGCTGATTCATTTTGTTAAAAAAATTATAATACCAGAATACACAAAAGAAAAATAACACACTGACTTCATACACTTGTCTTCCCAAGCTTTTGAGTATTTCTGCTAACTGACCAGATATAAGATACATAGATCTCTCCAAACTCAATTTCAGTTAAAAAGGAGCCATTCTGCAAAGACTGGTTCTCCTTAGAAGTCCTTTTATATAGTAATTCACTAAATATTTGGGTTCAATTCAACAAGTGCTCATGACATGTCTAATATGCTTGCTTCCCCAAAGCTGAGCTTCTCTGGAGTAGCTTCTCCACTCCTACCTACATCTGTCAAATCACTAATTTCTGCTGTAGCCACTTCCCTCCATCCCCACTGGCAATATAGTAAGTTCAAGATTCCATCAGCTCTCACTTATGTTTTTATAAGAGTTTTAAAACTAGTCTCTTGAATCCATTTTTCATCCTGTATGACTCTCCTTAAAATGTAAACCTGACTATGCAATTCATCAGCTAAAAATCTTTCAGTAGCTCGCTGTTGTCCTCAGAATAAAGGTCACATTCCTTGGCTAAACTGGCAGAGTCATAGGCATCTGTCCTCAAGGACGGTGAACCCTTTTCCCAACCTTGACATGCCACACTCTTCCATTGAGCAGTTCACGTTCCCTTCATATTGAACCACCACCTCCTTCTCTCAGGCTCTAGTGACCTAACCTTCTTCTCCCTGGTTACTCGGCACCACAGTCTCCTGCCTAACCATTATTCATCCTTGATGACTTAGCCTCCACTTGAAATACTGACTTGATACCCCAGAGCTTCATGAGATACCCTTTCTCTGCACCCCCAAGACTCGTTCCCACTCCCTACAGGTGGCGTTTATAAGGAGCTGGAAATAATTACCACGTGATCTCCATTCCTAGACTGTGAGCTGAGAATGAAGATTCTAAGTGTTCTAAGCACTCACATGGCACTTCAGAAAAGTGGTTTCAACTAGTGATCAAATGAACGAAAAAGGCACGATGCTCAGCAATACAGATTTTAGAGTTTGGGAAGAAAAGAACTACAGATGCCATTCTTGATATCACATACTTTATAACCAAGATAAACTTTCTACAGAGTTTTTTCTTTTTTTTTCCTACAGAGTTTTTCTAGTCAAACATCAACCAGTATTAAAATGAAGTCAACTCTTGTGTGTTCCTATAAGAAGAGGGAGTTAGCTCACGACAGCCCAGCAAGTATGTGATTTAAAAACTCGTTAAATGAGTAAATGAATGAATGAATTCAAGTTCAGTTGTTACCAATGTTTTCCCCATTAGAATCTTGATCTAAACTATCAACTAGCTAATTTTTAAATATTCTTTTGCCACTGGAGTGATCAGTAATAGTATTATGACCCAAAGACTAAAGGCCAAAGTGAAAGAATTATCCAGATGCTTGATGTTTCATGAATCACCTATGATTCTATGACCAAATGAGAACACTGACTCCAAATCAATCCATCTAGTAGAAAACACACACACACACACACACAAAGGAAAAACTCAAAATCTAGCTTAGCCGGTCAAAAACATGTTTTTCAACTCAAAATTTTCTTAGAATTTTGTCACTTTACAGACGCATTTATTTGGTCCTTAAAGGACATTGAGGGATTATCTACTTGAACAGATTCATTTTATAGACGATGATACCAGCTCCTAGAAAGGTTAATTGACCAAAGTTACTGAGCTAACTGGATTATCTGAAGTTCTGAAGTTCTTCCAGCTATAACGCATAATCACATAAACCACAAATGTGTGTTAGCAATGAAAAGAAAGTAAAAGTCACTCAGTCGTGTCCAATTCTTCATGACTCCATGGTATATAGTCCATGGAATTCTCCAGGCCAGAATACTGGAGTGGGTAGCCTATCTGTTCCCCAGGAGATCTTCCCTATCCAGAAATCGAACTGGGGTCTCCTGCATTGCAGGCAGATTTTTCACCAGCTGAGCTACTAGGGAAGTCCTAGGTGACACCCAAAAAGGGTCATCTGTTCCATGTGGACAGACACTTCATGCATCTGGGATTTTAGCAATCCTGAGGAAGGCCAGAGGGAAAGGATTTCTAATTATTAAAGAGACTTATACAGGATCTCTGGTAAGTTCTTCTTGGACATGCTTAACTCAATAAGCATTTGTTAAATACCTACCATGAGCACTCTGAGTTACAAAAATAAAGGCAATGAGATTAATCCAGGCAGGGATATCTAAGAAATCTTCAGGGAAAAATGGTATTTAAAGAGGGATTTTGAAGGCATTCAGTATACAGTTGAAAGACATGAAAGATCTCTGCTTTGGGAGAGGATAAGAGGTGATTTCTGCTCTAAGGAGATAGTCATGGCAGCTCTTCAGCATGAGGAAGTTTTAATGTGAACACATAAAACAAATGTTTACGCTGATTTCCCTTCAATATCAAAATGTGCTTATTGTTCTAAAAAATAAAAGGTAAGTACCCTTTTCATGCCATGCAGAAACAAAAGTATAAGAGCTATAGGAGTATAGTTTGTGGTTTAGTTTTTCTCAGTTCACCTGAGGAAATACCAATATTACTCCCAAATCAGTAATTTGTAGTTTTATTATTATAATGTTTCCAATTAAATCAAGCGAGTCTTAATTAAAAAAAATTCTCCACTATCAGTTTTGGAACAAATACTGCTAAGTATCTTTAAAATTTTAACCTTTTTGGGCAGTTATATTATCTGTTAACACCAAACATTTATTAATAGGTCATAAAACACTTGATAGAGGAAGTCCATGGACTTTGATAGTTTTCTTTGCAGGTTGTAGTATAACAATTTGTCCACTAGAGGGAGATCATTTTCTTGAGGAAAATCTATTAGAACTAAAAGTCAAAACTATTTCTTAAAGATTCATGAAAACAACCTCTCAAATATTTTTCAAAAAAAAAAACCCTCATAGGTTCACAGGAAGTGATTACCAAATATCAATAAAAACACATTAGCCTAAGAAATATTAATATTAGCTTTACAGATTAAAAATGACCTAAAAATGGTCACTTTTAGGTCACTGTTAGTAGGCATTCACTCTTACTTTTAAAAAATGAGCTCTTTTGTAAATATTAGAACTGAGGATCTTCTCCTGGAAGAAATTAGGTTGAAAACACATCAAGGCAGTAATTCTCTCAATGGATAGCAAATTAACTGAGACTTTATTTAGGCTGAAAATATGGATGATTTCAAATAAGCTACTCATTTTTGAAATGTCACTTTATAAACAATGTCACAGTATTATTAATAAAACAAGTAGGAGATGAGGGGTAACCCTAACCTTAGATGTTGGTACTAAAGAGGTCAGTTGTGAATTTGCCAAACACATTCTTTGGCAAACACTTTAATATAATGAATCCTCTTTTGACTCACAGCCAACATGATGGCATCCAAGGATAAAACTGGACTGCAAGGAGATCCAACCAGTCCATCCTAAAGGAAATCAGTCCTGAATATTCATTAGAAGGACTGATGCTGAAGCTGAAATTCCAATACTTTGGCCACCTGGCATGAAGAACTGACTCATTTGAAAAGACCCTGATGCTGGGAAAGATTGAAGGCAGGAGGAGAAGGAGACAACAGAGGATGAGATGGTTGGATGGCATCACCAACGCGATGGATATGAGTTTGAGTAAACTCCGGGAGTTGGTGATGGACAAGGAGGCCTGGCGTGCTGCGGTCCATGGGGTCGCAAAGAGTAGGACACGACTGAGTGACTGAATTGAACTGAAGGATAAGATTAGCAGAACCTTGGGAAAGTAAGTATAGAGGTAGGGAGAGTGAGAATATCTGAGTAATGATGATGGTGAGACTAATAATCACAATGATGATAATAAAACATCTAGAACACTCTCTAGGAATTGTGCTGTGTGTTATATATATGGTATCTCATAAAATCTCCACAATAACCCTTTGAAGTAGGCACTATATTTTCCATTTGACCAATGAAGAATCTCCGTCACAAAGAACTGACTCATGTTAAGTGACACGTCCAAGGCCATACAGTTCGTATGTGGGTTTTAAACTCAAGCTATCTGATTTCAGGGCCTGGGAGAATGGCCCTGTTTATGTCTCTATTGCAAAGCCTCCTGTTATTTGTTACAAAAATAGAAAAAAAAAATCTCCTAGCTTCCTAACCTCAACAGAATTTCAAATGTTAACTCATTGAAAGTAACATTCTGGTCACTTTATGGATCAAGCATTCCAAGGCTAATTCTGGGGCCTGGTCTTTATATGACCCTCGGTTTTGGAATTTGCCAGATCCCTATTTTTCCAGTTATGAACACAATGATAAGGTGCGAAAGAGTCTCTGTTACAGCCCATGTGGTAGGTTTCTTTCCGGAGTCTGAGAGCTCCTTTGGAATAGGGAGGGCTGGTGAGTCTGCAGAAGGTGGAGGGTGGTAAAGAGCAATGGCCCCGCCAGTCTGCCGCACTTAGAACTGCTGAAGGCTCTGTGCACCAGGCACTCCTCATGACCACTCACTCCACTCAGGTCCCTTGCTATGAAACCTGTCAACACCAACAAAAAAAAACCAAAGAGAAAACAAGCAAATTGACCAACCAACCAAACTGCTCCCCAGCTCTCTACATTGCTCTGAATCAGCACAATTACTGGGCTACATGTCCTGATCCACCTTCCACTTGGCCTCCTTCACTATTCCCACACTTTGTGTTTCCTGACCTTGCAATCATCGGTCCACTTAGGGCTATTTCTCCCTGTTTTGCCTGATTTTAGACCCTGCTCCTCTGTTTTATGCATTTTGCATCTCTTCTTGCCCATAATGTGCAGTCTCTCCTGAATCATGGTTCTGCTGTTTTTCATGGATGAACAGCTCATCTCATGTTGCCTGGCCATCAGGACCTTATACTC